TCGTCCACACGTCCACACCTTCTAGCACAAACTTAAACAAATTCTGTCAAACCAACCCAGTGCTGTCGTAATTATTAACCATTATGTAGGCCGGCGACACAATCATGAAATGGTACACTATGCTAAGATTTTTTTTATTTATTTATTTTTTTATTTTGCTTTGTTTTAAGCCACTATAAGACATTTATAACTTTCAGCGAATAGAAAGTCATATTTTAAGACAAATGCTGAACAGTTTTCAATGATTTTAATCCTGAAATCAAATTCAAATCTACGTTCAATTAAAGTATTTTATCAGTTATCAGAGAACAACGTTGTGCTACTTTTAATCATCGACGTATTCTTGTCATATGAAGAATATTTGAAAGACCCTGTATTAGTTCTTAACAGAACAAAATATTTGACGTTTTCAGTCCGCCTGTGCACTTTGATCGGAACTTAACACATAAACCATTTAAGATTTGTATCATAGTTTGGAGACCTTTCTGTTGAAAATGTGTCAGGGTTAAATCGTATACATATACATGCACAGTGCGTTAACTGGAGTGCGGGTATTAGTTACCCGCACTCCAGAGCATGCCCATTGATTGGCTCATTTTTGCTGGGGTTTACATACTGTGACGGCAGAGAAAGGGAAAGCGACAGAAATGTCATATTCAGATGTTCTTTCATTGGTTCATTTTTGCCGGGGTTTCATATTGTGACAACAGGGAACGTGCTTTTATGTTTGACTATGATACAAAAGAGAAAGAACACCAAAACACTCGGCAATCTGATTAATAGTCGGGGGCTACGCCCCCTCGTACAAACCAGATAGCCTCGTGTTTCGGTACTCTTTCTATTACTTAAACCTAAAACAATAGATGGGATAATATCCACCAATGCTCCTGCAATCTCTAGCTGGTGAACCACAGGGTTCTGTCATTAAGCCTCTTCTATTTTTGATTTACATAAATGATCAGCCTGCATCTATAAAGTCAAATAAATGTTTGCCTTTTTGCTGATGACTGCGTCAGGGTTATTTTCTCTACTTTCTACTGGTGCCAGTACCAGACTGATTGGGGGAAAAATGCGTTATTTTGACTTAAATTGGGAATTTTTATTATGCATTTTTTTCAGCTACAAATAAGATTAGTCATCATGAATAAAGACAGCTATAACAGCTTCCATTGTCCAGGTAGAAATATTGAGTGGTGATTTATATGAATATGTTGGATTTAAATGATTTCAGAAAAATCACTTGACCTTTTGGGAATTTTGAACAGTCATTTTGGGAATTTAAACATTGGATATTGGGAATTTTACTGTCTTTTTTCCATTGGAAACAGTAACTTTTTAGGGTAGTAGTTATACAAAGAAAAAATACTGGATCTGTAAAGGCTTCATAGCTAATGCAGTTCCAGGAAGATCTAGACAGTTTTTCATTGTGGAAGCAGAGATGGAAGATGTCTTTTAACATTAGTAAATGTCTTATTATGCATATAAAGAGAAATCGCAAATCAATAAAAGCTGTTTATATACTTATCAATCAGCCTCTGACAGTTGTCGACCATGCAGGCGACCTACCTATGTGTAGAAGTAAGGTCAACACTAAGCTTGTCACATGATATAAAAAGGTCTCTAGTGTGCGTGTGTATTTGAGTTTATTTATACTCCCCATATTATATGGCGAGTCCTCCAGAAGAGGTGTATTTTATATTTTGGAGGATAGTGCAAGATACAGATACAGAAAGATGCCCCAATTCCAAAAGCTTCCCCTGGTTCTTTAACGTGCCAAGTGTTTAAGCACTCATACTACACGGGACCTCGATTTAAAGTCTCATCCGAAAGACTGATTAGTAATTTATGTCGAGATTACAATTAAAGCCTCGGTCTCACTTACTCCCGGCAGAGCCCAGGACCATCCCGGTAAGTTACTGGGATGATCCGGGACGATCCGGGATGAAATTATTGTTGCGGTCACACTTACCCCGGCAGCACTACGGTAGTTCTCTACTAACCACCCAGGATGCGCTCCGGATCATCCAGGCAGAGCCCAGGTGAAGCTACGGTTCATGCCGGTGCTTCCCCGGTCGTTCCCGGATGACGCCGGAAGAGCCCCGGTTGACCCAGGCAGATCCCCGGTCAATCCAGGCAGAGTCCCGGCAGAGCCCAGGACGATCCAGGCAGAGCCCCGGTAGAACCCCGGTGGATTGAAAACGACGAAAATGACAACATTGATACAAAATTTTTATTTAATATAATATCTATTGTTCCAGAATAGTAATTCATGATGATTTTCTGAAAAATCCTTATGCCATACTGGATAGAAGGGAAATGGGAAGGCTTTTAATACAAACAAGTGCAATCATTGCAAATTGTCGTTATTTTTTTGAAATGATCCGGGCTTTGCCGGGGCTCTACCGGGATCAACCGTAGCTCTACCTTTATCCTCCGGGGCTCTGCCTGTAGTTACCGGGGCTCTGCCGGCATATACCGGGGCTCTACCGTAGCTCTACCGTAGCTCTACCGGCTATATAATACCCCGGATCATCCCCGGTTTGTGCCGGCAGAGCTACGGTGCTTTCCCGGTATAACCCCGGTCGTTCCCGGCAGAGCTAAGGATGAAGCCGGCAAAGCTATACCTTCCCGGATCATCCCGGACCACCCCGGTGATATTAAATATTTTATTCCATCCGGGGTCGAATGCCGGATGTTCCCGGATCATCCCGGATCATCCAGGATGTTGCCGGCAGAGTTACGGATGTACCCCGGTTGTTCCCGGTCGTACCCCGGTCGTTCCCGGATCACCCCGGACGTCTACCGGGGCTCTGCCGGGGCTCCGCCGGGATGTAAGTGAGACTGTAGCTTAAGTCTCGCGCTTTTACAGATCTCTAGTAAAGGCAGTCAGAGCTTATATAGGCTAGGGGCGTGGACGGTAACTTGCGGGGCCTCCGTGGCCGAGTGTTTAAGGTCGCTGACTTGAGATCACAGGTCCCTCACCGCTGTAGGTTCGATCCTCACTCGGGTCGAAATCTTTCATGTGAGGAAGCCATCCAGCTGGCTTACGGAAGGTCGGTGGTTCTACCCGGGTGCCCGCTCGTGCCTGAAATAATGCCCGGAGGGGCACCTGGGGTCTTCCTCCAACTATTAAAGCTGGGAAAAAAAATCGACGAAAAAATCTCGGCGGGACGCTCTAGGATCGATGGCCCGACTTGAGTGTACGGTCGCCCATATGGGCTTTCCGGCAGCGACCTTAAATAAACGCATTAAAAAAAAAACAAAAAAAAAAAACGGTAACTTGCACTTTCCAGTACCGTCCATGAACAGGCTCAATCAAATCGAGCCTGCAACATTTTCAATTTTGTCGTGTTGGACTTTCTTTAGGGATTCTGTTTTTCTATATTTTCTTAAAACGCAACATCCATTTCCCCAGACCTTGTACTAAAGCAGCATGTATATCAGCATTGTTAGACCAACTTTAGAATATATTTCTAGTGTATGGGATTCAAGATAAACCATCAGAAGGGTATTGATGTAATTCAAAATGTTCAAAGGCAAGCTGCTAGATTTATGACTAATAAATACAGGAAGACCCAGGATACAGTCTCAAATATAATTCGAGACTTAAAATGACACTCTTTGCAATCAAGAAGGCGACAATGGAAACTTATTTTTTTCTATACGATAGTATATGAAAATGTTGATTTCAATATCAGTCACTACATGTATCTCACTTCATATAATAGACAAATTAGAATTCATCATCACATGGTATATCAGATACCTAGTAGTACCATGATTACCATAAATTTTCATTCTTTCCTTCAATGGAACACGCTGCCGTCGTATGTATAGTTAGCGCTGACACGATCTTAGGATTTTAATCAGCGCTGGCTGCATCGGTGTTCAAACCATAGATAATCACATCATAAACATGCAGATACTGCTTTTATCCTGACTAACATTCTTACATTCTGCACAACGCATTTCTCTGTATATATTTAAGTCTTAAAGGCATTATTTAGGTTTTAGGATTTTACACTTTTTTATAACTGTTGATAGGTTTTTAGCTTAGTGGGTTAACCTATCACGCTATTCTCTTTAAGCCCCATGCATGACCATAAGTCAAAACGTACATGTATCAATGTATAAAATGAACGTTGTCATTATTATAGAAGAAAAGGAAGACACACTTCATTTCATGTTGGTAACAATTAGTTTGTGGCGGCATGGCCGAGTGTTTGTGTCGGATTAGTAATCTAATGATCCCTGGCCACTGGGTGTAAACATTGTCAGGGGCATGTCGTTGTTTGCTTTTACTGGTTGGTTCGAACACAATCGAACTGAAATAAATTCTGTAAAAAAAATTAGTTCAGCATCTTTTCGCACATTTTTTCTTTAAAATCTTTTCGCTCATTTGGAATCGTTTGCTTCGTTTCAGAAATCACAACAGAAGAGAGAAGGCTATTCTAAAATATTTAAGTATTTTGATATTCGTTTTTGATTGATTGTCACTTTTTTCTGTTTATGGAAATACAAATTGAAGTAAGTCCTTTTCATTTTGGCGATTACGCCCTATTGTTTATGTCTTTCCATTGAGATTCATTTCAAGATGCAGTAGCTTCGGACAGAATTAATTCGGACAGTACCCAACTGTATAGATCTGATGTACATGTATGATAATGTATTGTATGCAATTTGATTTCTGATTTTAGATTGTTAGATATTTTGATTGCACAGTGCAAATAATTGAAGTTTTTTTGCACATTACTGAAGATATTCAATTGCTTGTTTTTTTTTTTAAAGAGAGCAGACGAAAAAACATGCCATCATTGGCATCAACTGTTTTAGCGTGTAACGCGTGTTTTTTTTCTCAAGTGCGTGCGTTTTGGATGTAAAGTGAAACGTTCACCCTACTCTATCTATTGCACTTCACTTTTTTACGCTTTGGCTGTTTTTGAACCCAGAGTCAGACACTAAGCGTGTAGCTCAAAGTCCAAAAAGATTTATAGTTCTTCCCGTGGGCAGCACGCAATACCCAAATATACCAAAATATACCCAAATATTGCCCAAATATACCCAAATATTGCCTAAATATACCCAAATATTGTCCAATTATACTAAAAATAGATGTTTTATACTAAAAAAGTGCTGTTTTAATCATGAATACAATATACACTTTTACCAAGATATAATCAAACATACCCAAATAATTAATATACATTTTCGTATCATTGTGTTTTGAACCAAAGTACAGTATATCTATCTATCTCTGGATACTGCCAACCCCTCTTACGAGTGTTAAAGGCAGGTTTTAGTGCATTTCGGATTGTTAGTAAAAGGTGAAAAGAAAAGCTAAAAAAGAAAAGTCCAAACATTGACATGCTTGGAAGGTGAGACTGAAAATGTATTCTAGTCATGGTTAAAATGTTAATAGTGAAACAAGATGATAAGAGATAAAATAGTTTAAAAACACTGGGAGTAAGACTAGTACTGCAAACCCACCACTGCCTGTTTGAACTGACTCAGGTTGGGCAGGGTGGCAATGTTACTAGGAAGTTTATTCCATAGTATAATGCTATGAGTATGAGGGAAGAAAGAGTACTTATGGTAGTCAGAGGATACCTGTATTTGGCGTAGGGATAAGGGATGCATATGTCTGGTTAATCTATGTGGGGTTTGAACATAAGTTGGGAGATTAATTCCAACTAGGTTATGGTATATCTTATGATATCTGGATCATCTCAACTTTGTCAATATTGGTTTTAGTGTAAGGAGACCAAATAGTTGAGGCATATTCAACCTGTGGGCGGACCAGGGACTTGTATGCTAGTTCTTTCACTTTCTCATTTTTAGTAATGACATTTCTTTTAATAAAGCCAAGGGATCTGTTTGCATTGGAAGTTATTCGAGATATATGTCATAATGTGTATTAAATTTAAGGTGAGCAGATAGATCTAGTCCGAGATATTTAGCATTTGTAACAGACTCTAGGACTTGGCCATGGAGCATATATTTGTGTTTAATTATGGTTTTATTTTTGGTGATATGGATGACTTGGCATTTTGAAGGGTTAAACTCCATGTCCCACTGCTTCTCCCACAGAACCATATTGTCTAGATCATGTTGGAGAGTTGGGGGGGTCTGAGGAGGAGTTGATGGTTAAGTATACAGCAGTGTCGTCTGCAAATAATCTGACTTGGGATTTAAGGACAGAAGATGGTAGCTTGTTGATATATAGAAGGAAACATTAAGGGGCCCTAGGACAGAGCCTTGGGGCACTCCAGAGGTAACTGGGACTTCAGATGAGCAGTCACTATCCACAACTACTGTCTGTCTACGGCCAATAAGGAATAATGTACTCCATTAAAGCTATATTTTTTTTAAATAACATGGACACTTGTATATGATATGAAATTTCTACAAAATTACACCTTAAAATGTAAGTGTAGACAACAAATATCATATCTTGATTTAAATTTGCAAGTACATTCATAAAGAACCTAAAGTCATACATGCCATAACGTCCCGGATGCCCGGGATTGTCCCGGAAATCGGATGTCTGTCCCGGAGATGTCCCGGGCATCGATTTGATCCCGGAAAAAAAAATCATGATATTTTGCAAAATTTTCATAAATTTTCTTAAATCAAATCTCGCACATTTCACCTCTAGAATCTGACCTGGTACACATAATACACAGGAACGTTGACACAAGTTTACAATATACAGCCCCCCAATTATCGACTGTCGATTCCCCTCGGCAATAGATTCTTCATGCATCGGCAATTCACATTCTCTGTTGAATTCGGCAGTGTTTAATGGTCGGGTTAATTAATTGTTTACGGCCCTTAACAATTATCGTTAATCCCCGATAATCATTAATTTTTAGATCGATCGCTAACTTGCCGAAAGTCTAATTATTACAAACATTGTAAATATATCTATCAAATAAAAAAATTAAAGGTGTCAAATAAATCACCTTGCTGTGTTTGTTTTTATGACGTGAAGAATTGCATTACGTGACATGTAGTAATTATCATGACTTTAAGATATAACGGGTGAACAACATGGCTGCGCCCATTCACCGGGTTTATAACTTACAACTTACTTGCTTTTAGGGAATAATAAATTAAATAAAGAAATACTTTTAAAATGATATATATGTCGACCTAAAAGACAACTTATAAAACTAGTAAGTTAACTGTTTATCATTAAAATTCTGGAGAAAGTCGTCCTTATTCAATAACGTTATACGATTGACACCCCCCCCCCCCCCCTTTTCCAGAACTGCCTACACATCCATTATTGCCGCGATGAAAAGTGTCCCGGAAAGCTGTCCAAAAATTATGGCATGTATGCTATAGTAGATAAGCAATTGTCACAACTTTATTTTCTTACAACATCTTATCTGCCCATTTCAACGGAATGAATGAAAGTTATAGCAGGTTAAGTCATATTTTTTATAAACATTTATCTATTTCTCATTATAATCTATATTTTATACAAACAAAAATAAATATTGCTCTATTTGGGTGTATTTGGGTATTTTGTGCCGCCGCTCCCCATGGGTACCACATCATTGCCCATTCCGGTGTAATCAGAAAATGTTGTTCTTTACACATTGAATGCCACCAAATACTGTTTTCCACCATTAAAATGAAAGTGGAAGTGCTGCTTTTTTAATTGGGATAGAAATTGTTGGAAATATTTTCATTTCAAGTAAATTTCTCTCAATAATAGGAAAATCCAAAGCTGCCCGCAAGTGTTGAAAACACTTTTTATTTTACTTCATATTTACCTGTTAAACTGATAACTTCATGTTCTGACAAATGAAGATCTTCTGCTGAAACTGTAGTGACGTCATATTCTATTGAAAAAATTTATACTGAAAAAAAGGGCCATCAATTAAAATACCACGGTATCATAGTGCTTTCTGTTTAAGCTCTCATTCAGAACATGGCTGACTGTCCATAGATATTTCTAATTTAAATCATTGAGTTATTTTATGTAGGACATGTGTATTTTAAAGTCAAGTTTCGGCAGTTAAACACAATTTAATAAAATAGTAAATACAAGTTCTTTTTATTTGTATAATTTGCTGGAAATAATAAGAACAATGGTACCATAGAGTTCAAAACCTGTTTACCACCTGAGGATTTTTCAGGTTCAGAATATCATATATGTATCATAGAAAATCTTAATGTAAGCTGTTTTAAAAAAAAATCATGTTTCAATGTTGTGATCATTTAAATATCTGGAATTTCTTGGACCATCATAAGTGAAAACAACAGACCAAAGGCAATTTAAATTTCATTTCCACTTTCTCAAACATGCCCCTTCTTTGGCCAATTTAGTTAATATATATTTTGACAGACATGAGGATTGAGCTTTTATAATATATTATTTCTAAATATATTCTAATTTTAAATCATGTACATTTAACAGACATTTAAACAGCGCTTGACCATTCTTTTGACATTGTTTGACCAGATACACATTTCTAATTGATTTAAAAATGTACGCAATATTTTTGAAATGTATTGGCACACCTGGAGTTTAATGTTGATGCATATTTCATAACTTTTAATGTGTAAATATTCTAATATGCATTCTATCTGGTACTCCAACAGTTAAATATTTGACAATAAGACAATATAATGATCAGTCATCAGATTGTGGCCTTTCCCCTTGAGTTTTACTGTAGCATCCATTACAACTTGCTCATGTGTACATGTAATTAAATTCCTTAGCAGGTCAAAGTTCAATGAAGATTGTGTTCAGCTAACCATCATAATAATCCATTTAGTAAATGAACCAATGAAGTCATCAATACATAATACATTTCATATTTCATTTTAATTCTTCTCCTTTGCAAAAATGCCATTTGATTTTGAATAGTTGTGTATATATAAATCTAATTCTTTTTCACACAATTCTATTCAAGGATTTCAGGAATACACAAGGGTATAGTGGGATACTATTAATTTCTTTCATGTAATAGGATGATATTTTTCTAATCACATTCATATCTTCTTTCCCTACCTTTGAAAAAAGCCCTGTATAGCAACTATGCCCAAGTGTCCACTTCAATTTCAAAATTGTCTCTTATTTCTATTTGACACTAGGGTTAGGGTTAGAACTATAGTGATTATTTTTCTTGAAGGGAGACAACTGAGTTTTCTTTTTTTATCAAAATAACCTTGCATAATTTCCCCTAGATATATGCAGGGGATATTTTATGTGCATTAAGAATTTCAGATTAATTCTAAAATGATTGAAGTTTAATACAGATGTATATTTAAACTAACAAAGTCAGCATCCTCTTTCATTTTTTTTCTATTATATATATATAATATAATCATTATTTTCATATTAAAGTGTTTAAAGCAATGTATCTGTTACAAAAATAACTGTCAAAAGTAACAACAGTTATTACTACAACTATTTAGTTTTAGTTTACAAGTTTTTTTTCGTGTGTGCAAGTGATGATACCTTATTATGTTGTGGAGTAATTTTATTATAAAATTTATATATCATAATTATG